GCTTTATTGGAGATTACAGCACTTTCTCCAATCACATGGGGAGATCAGGTAATTCCCACTGATAACCTTGATGGGATTGAGAAGACTTTAGGGCTGACTGATTCTCTCCATCACCCTTGCTGCATTCAAGTAGAGAATCTTATATTTCAGCAGAAGATTAATATCCTTACAGAACGTTCTCAACCTGCTTTTCCGTGTTCTTGCCTGACCAGTTCAACAAAATCATCCTCTGACTCTGTCCCAGATTGGAACCCCTATACTACATTGATTTTTCTTTTTTCCACCTTTATTTTCCCCTCCCAGACCAGCTTCCTCAGAGTGTTGGTAAACACAAGATTTGTGTCATGTCTGCAAAGATGTGCCAGGTAAGTTGAGTCCCTACATATCTGACCCACAGAGAACAAACTTTCACAGAGTGGGAGGGAGAGGCAGGGCAGAAGGTTTAGGTTGTGTTTCAGAGAGCAAAAAGAGTCCCTTTAGTGTGGCCTCCTAGGGAGGGGGAGATCTGGAGGTGTGACAGCTTGGTTTTCATACTTCTCAGCCTAAAAATCTCCAGAGCAAATCTACAAATGTGTATTCCCAGGTGTCAGAACACTGCTTGATTGCAAACTCTGCTGTCAAGTTTCTGCTTAGAAGAACAAAACAGAAACTCTCTGAAAACTAGAGCAGAGTCACCTCTGAGCTAGCAGAGGGGAAGGAGGAATAGATTCATGGTCTCTTCTGGAGATGCTTGATGTTCCTGGAGCTACTCCAGCAAAGGACTGAGAAAAGTGCGATGACTTCAGTCTGACACCATCCTGTCACTTGGATCTAAGTGAGGAGAGTTCATTTAATGAGGAATTAGGGGGGAAATGGTAAGAAAAGCCACTCTGGCAGCCTTCATGTGCCCTGGTTGCTCTGTGCCAGTGAGAGAGGTTTTGTGGCAGCTGCACATGGCAAAGCCCTGTCCTGCAAAATGTGATCAGCTTGAGCCCCTTTTGAGCAGGGTCAGACCTGTGCTCCACCCTCACGTGCTGATTATCTGTCTGGAGGGCTTTGTGTGCATGAGAGGCTGTATGTGAGAAATCTCCTGCAGGGTTTAGAGAAAAATCAGTCACTGTATTGCCTTATCTCCTGTGCCATAAGCGGAGGTTTCTCTCCCCATGGTTTTGATGTCCCAGCTGTCCTTCAGAGTTCCTTCCCACCTCAGGCTCTGTGTAGATTTCTGACATCCCACTGAAAAGTCTCTTTGGCCTCTCTTTGCCTTGGTGCTCCTGCAGACCAACAAGGTCCCATTTCAGACCTTTTGTGGGTCAGTGTTTGCTTGTGCCACTCCTGCCAGGATGAGCAGGGTGGTTCCTGTGCATTTTGCTGCCCTGTTTGTGTTGTCTCCATACCTGACTGCTGTGCCATACTGCTCTTGTCTGTGGAGAGAGGCTCAAGCCGCCATTCTTAAATGGTAGAATATGCTACCAGTTTTTGAGAAAAGGTAGAAATTTTTCTCTCTGTGTGAAAACACAAAGCAGCAGCTGTGCTAGTGACAGAGTGAGGGTTTTCCAAAGCCCTGCAACTATAGAACTGTGAAGATTGAGCTTTTGGATAAAACCTTATTTAGCCATCCACAGATTCCTAGGAGCTGGAAACCCAGTGTGGAGAGGAGCAGAGCAGGCTCCAGTGAGCACCCAGTGGAAACAGGCTGTAATCGAGTCTGTTCATGCTTTGTGCTTCTGCCCTTTCAGACCAGGGGGCATTGGCTGTGGTGAACAAGCACTTCTTACCAAACCAGTGAATCAGCTTTAATCTGCTCCCCAAAACCCTGGGCACCCCAGTTATCTAGTTATGCAACCAATACATTCCATATTAGGTTAAATTTCCTTGGCCATTCCTGACCTCATTCCCATTGTTTCAGTAGTTATAGGTCAGGTTGTCCATGGGTTCCCCATTCTTATTGCTTCATTTGAGCTGGGGAAAATTGACAGATTAGTCATATTCTATCATAAGTGTCTTACTGTGCCCATGTTTACACATTTGCCGGTAACACCAGGCTCTCACACACTTAGGGGTCTGTGTAAAGATCCTACAAACTGTTTGCTCTCTGAGTCAGCTCATTTGATGGGGAGATTTATTCTTCAGGAAGGAAGTGAAATGCCTATTGTAGAGAGACATATATTGATAAATACTGCATTTTCTTTATGCAGGGAAAATTGAAGCATCTGGTAATGAAATATGTGCCATTAGCAAACTGGAAAAAAAAAGGGTTTTTCCAGCTATGTCATCCTTCACAGCCTGTGCTGTTTCTGAAGGGCTGTGCTGGTCACTGTTTCCAGCTAGAAACAGGATTGTTTGAAGTTCAGTCCTTCTAGGTAGAAGGAAGACTCCGATATCATCATCGCAGATGTTGGTGCAAGTGTGACTGTGCCTGCCTGGGTTAGATGTCACCCTCTATATTTGCTTCATCAATATGATTTACCAGGTGTGTTACACCACTGAAAAAATCCTCAAAACCTTTTTAGGCACTGAAGAGAGAGATACTGGGGATTTTTCCAGACACTTGATTATATTCAAGTGAAACTAGCTGCTGCTGATTTTGAGCATTTCTATGAAAGGCTTGTTTAAAAAAAAAACATATAAAAAGGATCAGAGTCTTTGGTTTTGGACAGCTCAAATAGAAAATAATCATAATCAATCTCTCCTCCCCAAGAGACTCCTAACACCTCCAAGAGATTATGTTCCCAGGGAACGTTTGGCATCTCCTGCTGTGGACCAAAATCCCCTTATCTTAATGTTGCCAAGTTGAGATGAGACAGTGAGGACTGGAGTCAAACAACCATGAGTTTTTGTACTATAAACACACCTAGATATATGCAGAAAACAAATAACAGTTTGTTGAAAGATGCAGTTTTCTGCTAATTGAAATGCAGTTACTGTTCCTGTGCGCACAGGAGGTTTGCGAAAAGAAGGAATACGCTGCAATTTATTTTCACAGCAGAAATGCACTGCTGTTTTTAGCGAAGATCTCAGTACATCTGCCCACCATGTTTGGGACTTTGGGACTACAACCTGCACCATGTGCTGTTGAGAATTTAGGATGTTGCTGAGTTTCCTGTAGCCTCAGAGGCCCCTTTGCTCAGAGCCCCTCTGCTCTACAGGCCCAGCCCTCACCACCTCTCACTTCTGATGCAGTTTGCCTTCCCTTCCCCACAGGCAGCATACGGAGCATTTTACAGGGAGCGCATAAGTGCTGGGAAGCGCCTGTGTGGACACGGTGGAGGAGGACTCCCTCACCCAAATGCTCGCTCCCTCAGCCCCGTGGTGTGTGAATTTATGTTACCTGCAGAACCTCTAGAGTCACCCGCACAAAGTCAGTGTCCCGTGACCCCTCTTGGGTGATCCTGTCCAGGTAACTCAGGAGGCAAAGGGCTTCTCCTTGTGCGGGGTTTTCCGGCTGCAGTGACGGGGAGCGGGTGCTGGCTGTGCCCGAGCATCGCTGCTCTGCAAACCGGGTCAACATCGTGGAGGGGCCCAAGGCACCCCTTTCCCAGCCGGGCCGGGCAGCGCCTCCCCCGCCTCCCCGCATCCCTCCCCTCGCTCGGGGGCGGCTCTCGGCCCTGCATAAAGCCGGCGGGGCCGGGCGCTGCCCTGAGCCTGCCCGGCCATGCACCCCGCGCCGCGCCGCGCCGGATCCCTGGAGGCGGCGCCGAGCCCGCGGGACTCCGGCAGGCAGGTGAGGAGCGGGGCGGGCACGGGAGTGCGGGATGGGCACCGGGAGTGCGGGATGGGCACGGGTGAGGAGCGGGATGGGCTCGGGAGTGCGGGATGGGCACCGGGAGTGCGGGATGGGCACGGGTGAGGAGCGGGATGGGCACGGGAGTGCGGGATGGGCACCGGGAGTGCTGGATGGGCACAGGTGAGGGGAACAGGATGGCACGGAGAGTGCGGGATGAACATAGATGAGCACAGGTGAGAAGAGCGGGATGGGCACAGGTTTGGGGAACAGGATGGGTACGGGGGGAGCAGGATGGCACGGGAGTGCGGGATGAGCACAGGTGAGGGGAACAGGATGGGTAAGGGAAGTGCGGGATGAACCAATATAGATGAGGCGAACAGGATGGGCACAGGAAGTGCGGAATGAGCACAGGTGAGGGGAGCAGGATGGGTACGGGGAGGGCGGGATGGGCACAGGTGAGGGGAGCACGATGGCACGGGGAGTGCGGGATGGGATCCTCGCTGCCCGGCCCCGGGGTCAGTCCCGACTTGCGGAGTAAACGCCGCTTTTGTGCAGTCACAGCTCGGGCGCTTCGCTGTTGCATCTCTCGGAACGGAAATTTGGGAAAATCGGGAGCTTTCTGGCCCCGGTTACTTGGAGAGCAGAAATTGGAGAGACCTGGGGTGCGGCTCCTCTGGCGTCGGTGGCAGCGTTCGGTGCCGGTGGGATTGGGATGGAGCTGCTGTTTCGGGATAAAAGAGAGGAAAAAAAATCTCAAAGTGTAAATGTGAGCATATGAAATTAAGGTAGAACAAAGGCAACTTTTGGTGTACCATTGCTTAAGAGGCAGACGGTGTGACATAATTCAGAAGAACACACTTCTTTTATTTATAATATTCTCCATTATAGTGGGAATTTGCTTAGTGCATCAGAGATCAGATAGAAGCAGCACTGGCTGCAGTTACTGATACTGTGCAGTTGACAAAGTCTGCAAAATTCCTTGTGAAGACAAGAATGCTGACAGTAAAGTTTCACAAAAACATTGCTTTGCTGTATCCCTCAGATACCTGGAAGCCAAATAAGCAGCTCAATACAGCTTTTGCTTTGGTGTCTGAGAGCTAAATCTTAGGAAGAACTTTGGTGTAGCTGGAAAATGTAAAGTGATATCTAGTTGTGGTCACTCCTAATATTGTGTATTCACCCTTCCCTAGAAGTGTGTCAAAAGGACAGCAAAAAGTAAGCAGCTACTTAATGGGAAGAGAATATAAAATGCCTATTGCCACTTTTTATTAATTGTGATTAATGCAAATCAGTATAAAACATTTTGAAAATAATTTTTCATCTTCAATTTATGAATTGAAATGTGATTTTTTTTAGGCAAATATGTTTGGATAATTTAAAATCCTGATTATCCATTAATATAAAGAATTAAAGCACAAAATATGCTCCCTCATATATCTTTCTCTCTGTGAACATCCTTTGGGGAGAGGGAGAAAGGAAAGATAATTGCTATGGGTCCTAAAAAGTGAAATCTTTAACTGGACAGCACCTAATTATCTACGTAAATAAAGGGCTTAGAATATCCCTGTGTTTATCTATTTTCATCAAGACTGAGTCAGGCTGGTGGAAAATCAGTTAAAGATTTGCATCACTAATAAAAAACATCAGTGAAATATTAACTCCCCCTTCACCCTCCAAAAACTTCAAATGTGTTACCATGCAAAGGAAAAGTTTCAGATTTTACTAGAGCTGGGTTGCTGAGTTACTGATAGAGGTTAAAATATAAGTGAAGTGTAGCCACAGGAGGAGAGGAATTGTTTCTGTGTTACCTTTTCTCCTGTTGCCTTGCACCCAAATGATTGCTGCATTGGGTGATTGTCTTCATTTTTTAATTAACGCAAAAAGTGAGCTTTGGTGTAGGGTTAAATAATGTCTACAGTGTGCATTTGGCATTGTAAGCATCACAATTTCTCTTTTCCAATTTGTAATTCCTAAGTTAGAGGTCATTTCTGGAGCTTGATATAAGAATATTTTATGTTTTGTTGATTTTCTTCATTGATCTCTTAAACATATAACTTCATAGATGCTGTCACCTGATCCTAGACACAGTGGAAGTTGCAGCAGCAAAGCACAAAAGAAGAGCTTTAGTTTTTGGCGCAGGTAGTCTGTCCCAGCTGTGCACCTCATAACACTGCATGCAACTGTGCCAAATCTCATAAAGGCTGATCCAGGCTGAAGCCAATGATCCTAGATGTGCAGTCAAGCCAACAGGCTGCATATCAGCCTCTTCTATAAACCAGCCCTGCATTTATTGCCTTCAAAGACCACCACCTAACTCTACTTGTAGTGGAGACTTGTTTGCTTCTCCTACAGCAGCCCCATCTGAACAGGATTTGGCTCACACAAATGGCTCTCTGCACTTGAGAAAACAGCCCATGACCTGTATGTAATCGTGGTGTTTGTAGCTTTTTATTTTCTGTTTGAAGTGCCTGTGCTCAGTGCCTGTTCCTGGCTCTTGTGATGGTGATCTGACACGGGAGTGAGCTGGGAAATCTGCAGGCTGCTCAGCTGAACCCTGACTGGGCTTGCCAATTTCCAGCAGAAAACTTGGTGTCAGGACTCAAGCTGATGGAGTTCATTGACTTTGGTGGATCAGAAACAGCGTGATGGTCTGACTCTGTTGTCCAGGCTCATCATATTGTGGCAACTCATTCGAAGTGGGAACCCAGTCAGAAATCCAAATATTTTCATTACATCGTTAAAGTTGGAGAGACTGTATAAGGGAATCAAAGGAACTGGTGCATTTTGTTTGCATTTTTATTTTGCTCTTTTCATTTCTGAAAATGTCTCAAGATAGTGATATCTTTAAAGTTGTGTCCGATCAAAAAATAATTCCAAATAGCAATATTGTGGCTTCATTGTTCCTCTCCTCTTTCTTGGTGACTCATTCAGAAACCTCTCCTTTTATTCTTTAATTTTTGCAAGGTTTGAAGACATATGAGGGATAGCCTCTCCTCATAAGCCTTGTGTTTTTTCTTTACTTTGTATTTTCCTTATTCTTTACTGTTTCAGTATTATCTCTTTTTATGGCCTGGCTACAGGTAGCTAAGAATATGATCTGTGATAGCTGCTGATTTCCACACAGCCAGGAGTGTGTTCACTAGGTGCAAAACCACACAGTCTGACAGTATGGGGTGTCTGAATTTTCAGTGTGTGATTGTGCCAAGGGTCTGAGACATGAATTAAGGGACATGGCAGATGGAGCAGCTGGGCTGTGGTTGATCAGAGAGGGAATGTCTCTACAGCCAACAGATTCTGGTCAGCAAAACATTTTACCTCCTTAGGTTTGTGTCCTTGCCCTGTGAAAACAGTGTTTTACAGTTATGTAACAAGAGAGTGATTTTCAGTTCTGATCTACTGAATCCTGATTCATCTTTTCCTGCCTCTGTCCTGTGGGATTTGGATTATTCTCTTTGCCAGTGTTCACTGAACTTGCTAACAAGTGTTTTTGTTCAATGTACTATTTCTGATGGCATCTTATTGCTCCCCTTCCTCCCAGTAGCAATGCTAATTATAAACTGCATATTGAAAATATTTTCTGCATCCTAGGGAATGAATAAAGATGTCCATAAAATCATTCAACTAAAAAAATCTTGGTATTTCAGTGTCTCACAAATTCTGTCTGTGACTAACTTTATTCCTATTATTTTGTAATATTTGAATTCATAATTTTCCTTTTGTGGTTGATCCAAGCACAGTATTACCCAAGACACCCTGAAATGTAAAAACTTACACTTTTTTCACTTCTACCTATTCAAACAGATTTTTTTGTTTGTTTGCATCTAGTTAAATAAGTCAGCTTACATGATGATTGAAGATAACAAAGAGAACGAAGACCATGCATCTGAAAGAGGAAGGACAGCCATCATTTTTTCCTTGAAGAATGAAGTTGGAGGACTTGTGAAAGCATTAAAACTCTTTCAGGTATGTATTCTATAATCTTATGATCATCACAGCAGCTCTCTATTTTTAAATTGTAAGGGTAGTTTTAGAGCACACAAGAATTGATTACATCCATTTATTAAGGATGTGATTCTGAACCTGCTCCCACCTCGCACCCAAAATTACCCACAAAGGCAAATGTGTGCCTCAGAAATTAGATGATGGCTGTGGCTGGCTAAAACTCTTACCTGCACAGACTATACACTGAGAGAAGTTTGTCTTTTCCCCTCATGACAAGAGGATTGGCACTCAATGGTTTTGCTGGGAATAAGAGGTGGTCTGAAGCCCCTGCTGATGGCAGGTAGACACTGGGGGTGTTGATCTTGCCCTTGCCACACTGCCCAGGCAGACTGGAGGCGGCAGAGGAGCTGCACTTGCACAGCTGCTGGGCAGGTGCTGTGTGAGGAATATGTGCAGCGCCACTGTGCTCTGGTGCGTGGCTCTGCGTGCTTTAGCTTGGGGTTTTCTCAATGTTCCTAATATAAAACACATGATTAAATAATTCTTCAGATTAAAGACAAGTGAAACTAATGCTCTGAAAACTACTGCTTTTAAATCCCTTGCCTGCTTGTGAGATAATTATATGGTGACTTGATTGGCATTTTGGTGAATTTGGCTAATCAGCTTCCTACGGGAAGGATAAAAGAAAAAGGTCCATGAATTTAAACTTCCTGACTGTGTCTTTATGTGCTTCCTGAATGTAAATAAAACTGACAGAACACAGGTTTGCTTTCATTTTCTTCTGAATAGAAAAGCAAACCTTCGCCCCCTCCAATAAGCAAATTGCTATCAAGAGATCCAATTAACTAAAATAGCTTCATAGACGTGGTGAATAGTTCATGGCAGTAGAATATTAATTTGAAAAACTATTTTAACTTTTAGTCAATTGCTTTTACCCTATCTCTTTGCAAACATTGCTTCTTACTAAACAGGAGAAGCATGTAAATCTGGTACACATTGAGTCACGGAAGTCCAAGAGACGAAATTCGGAGTTTGAGATCTTTGTAGACTGTGACAGTAACAGGGAACAGCTGAATGAGATTTTCCAGCTCCTGAAATCCCACGTCAACATCGTCTCTGTGAGCCCCACAGAGCATTTCAGTGTCCAGGAAGATGGTAGGTACAAAAGGCAGTGCTGATGAAAATGCACTTCCAAATGTGTTGGTTTGAAATCTTTTTTTTGGTTGTCCACACCTGCACTTGTGTCGTGTCTTCAGGCCCCTGCTGCCAGGTACCTGTTTCTGTGCTATGTGTGAGTGTAGTCTGGCCTGAACCTGGGAGTTCAGGCTGTTACAAATTGTGTGTCTGCTGTCTGTGCTCCTGTCCCTTCCCAGCACAGCCCAGCTGGCACCAGTGAGAGCTCTGCAGGTCAAAGCAGGCTGGCCTGTGGGCAAAGTCTGAGTACAGGGCTTGAGTACTTTATGATGGCAGGTGTGATACTGACAGGTCCCAGTTCAGTTCAGACACTGGGGAGAGTTCAATATGGATTCTGCAATTTCCTCATTTAGTTCTTGATTTTGCTGTCTTTTTTACCCACATTTAATCATAATGGCCTCCTTATATTAGTACAAAAGAGACACCCTTTACTTTAAAATACTACCTGTTGTGTTTACACCTTTACTTTTAATTAAAGAGATGCCCAAAGTTCAGGGCAGCAGGAAACTGGTCCCATGTCATTGTGCTTGGGAAGGGGAGATCTGGAGTTCTTGGATAAAATGGCTTACTTTAGTCCTAAGTAAGGGGAAATTCAATCTAAACAGTCTCCTGACCTTTTTAAGTAAACTGAAGAGCATTGAGGCAGAAAAACAGTGTATTAACTGCTCTGCCCAGGGCTTGGCAAAAAACTCTATTAGGGCAAAAATAACCCCAAAGTAGTTGGTAGCAAAACTGTAATGATGCTCCTGTCTCAGGCAGCAGGGCCTCCTGTTCCTCCTGCCCCCCATACCCCTCAAGGGAAAACTGGGTGCTTCCCATGTACATAACCATGGGGAATCATCCATTTCCCATGGTCAGTAAAACATGATGAGAGGGCTCTAACCTGCTCCCACTCTGCCCAGGAACCACAGACAAATAATTTCTTTTCTCCTTTGCACCCTTTGTGCCCTACAAGATTGCCAGCAGCTGTACACATGGAGACCTTGTCTCCATGGGATCCTCTGGATGCCACTCATGCTAGCTGTCCTTCCCAGAGGCTCTGTGGCTGGCTGTGCTCTGCAGGCAGCCTGTGGCAGTGACCGAGGAGGAAGTGTGAGCTGGAGGCTGGTGCCAGATAGGCAGAGGCCTCCCTTGTCTCCTTCATCCCCTTTAATTTATGGAGCGAGCTGTAACCGCCGTGGCCATCCCTGGAAGCAGCGCTTCCTCCCTCGGTGTGCTGGGTGTTATTAATAACCCTGTGGATCCCATGCCTTCCCCAGGCATGGAGAACGTTCCCTGGTTTCCGAAGAAGATCTCAGACTTGGATAAGTGTGCAAACCGGGTGCTGATGTACGGCTCTGACTTGGATGCCGACCATCCCGTAAGTACTTTTCCCTCCCTACATCCAGTCCATAGATGGAAACAATTCATGGAGCTGACCTAAAAAATTGCAGCTTTTCCTCCTCCCTTTACTCTCCCTCAATGGTGTCTCTGGAGGTCTGAGCACCTTCTCTTGGGGATTTCGTGTCTCTTTCTTTGCTCAGGGAAGACTGACTGAATTCAGTTCCTGTGCTTTTCTGCAGGGTTTACTCGTGCAAGAACTCCAGGTCTGGGCCTTGAGTGGTCACATCCACATTAAAGAAGCTAAAAGAAAGTTATTTTGAGGCAGGCTTTCTTCCCCCTCTATCTTTCTTCCTTACTGGAGAAACCAAGCTGGTATTTGGGCACTGAAAACGGGCAATTTGTTCTGTAATTTTCAATAATCATGCAGGTAACAAACTCTGTATGAATACTGATACAACTAAAATTAATCCTTCTACATGGAATATATAGTTGCATAAATCAGCTGATTCCTACTTTGGAGTATTTGCTCAGTTCACATCTATTAAACATTTTAGATTTCAGCTATGAGTTTCCTGCCCTCTCCTTTTATTCTTACACATCATACTTTTCTATTCCCCAACTGCAGAAATGTCAAGTGTTCTGTTTTAAATTGATTGATTTATTTATTATGGTTGGAAACTCACTGAATTGTGTTTTCCTTTCTCCCCACCAGGGTTTCAAAGACAATGTTTATCGCAAGAGGCGAAAGTATTTTGCAGACCTGGCTATGAACTACAAACAGTAAGCTTGAATTCTTCCAGAAGAAGCCTTCTGGGTGCTTTGAAATGACAGCAGAGTGGGCTGTGAGGAGCTCACCTTCCTGGGCTCAGACCAGGCTGAGGCATGCAGGCTCAGCTCAGGGATCAGAGCCAAGGAGGCGAAGGGAAGGGAGGTGTGAGGCAAGATGAGAGGGTAGATCAGGCAGCCCTGGTCAGTGTGGCTTGGCCAGCTGCTCTGCAAAGGAGAGGGAGGGGAGGCAAATCCCAATGTACAGCCCACTGACCACTGAGAGTAAACTTTCTGAGCAAATGTTAATACTTGAATTTTCTTTCCTGGTTCAAACTAGCATGTGTGATGTGTAGATAAGAAGTTTTCTGTGAAAAGAAATTCTAAGAGCTTCTGTCTTTAGAGATGCCTCTTGGCAGGGGGTGGAGCTCTTAAAGCAGTAAGAGATTCATGACCTAGTGCTGTAAATTCTTTCTAAATGCGATTTTCGTGTGGCCTGATTGAATTTAGCTGTCAAGTTCCTCAACTGAACGTGGCCTAGAAAATGTCTGTATTTAGAGTTCTATTGCACTGTGTGTTTAATGCAACTGGTTACCACAGTCCCAAGCTGATTATTGCTAACCTGTTGTTGACAGAGATTCCCTTGGGAAAGCATTTTCCATGCCAGTGACCTGGCTGGCAGTGGAAACACAGTGTAATACTGGCCTTGCCACAATCCACTTCATCCAAGGTCCTGAGGACTAAATAGGAAAGAGAGACTAAAATTAATATGCTCAGACAGGCACTGGTCTCCTCTGCACAGAAACATAATTTTTACCTGATGTGTATATTTAGCTGCTGTCACACTATGTGTTGTTATTTTAGGAAATTCTCCTTTCTTAAAACAAATTAAAAGGTTAATGGAAAATAATTGTAGACTTAGAAATCCAACATGGAAAAGGATGTGTTATCAGCTCCTGAAGCTGTGAAGAGATTGTGTAAGTATTTTAAACCTTACTCTTGGCATTAAACAATTAAGAAACTGTTTACAGAACCAATGCTTTAAGTGAGATCAATGCCAAGATTCCTGACAACTGGTTAAAGTGAAAAAAAGGCAAGTCCTCAGACTAAAAGCTTTCCAGGACATAGACCAGATCTCACTGTATTTGATAGAGTCTAATGGCAGGTGTCACAGTCATACAGGTATTAAATACTAATAGTAGGTAAATTAGTCACCTCTTATTAGCCATTTTCTGAGGAGTGTCCTTTCTTCCTCTTCTCCTTGCAGTGGTGACCCAATCCCCAAGATTGAATTCACTGAGGAGGAGGTCAAGACTTGGGGGACTGTGTACCGAGAGCTGAACAATCTTTACCCAACTTATGCCTGCAGAGAGTACCTGAAAAACCTGCCCCTGCTCACCAAACACTGTGGGTACAGGGAGGACAATATTCCCCAGCTGGAAGATGTGTCTCGCTTCCTGAAAGGTAATCTGCTGGTTTCCTACAATTTTCTGGTTTTCAAAATAAACTGAGGTCCATTGCAAATCCCACCATTTTGTGGGCACAAGGAAACATTCTGGGTGTCTTGTATTCATTCTGGTCCTTTAAGAGGCCTTTTGGCCATCTGTGTTTTAATGTATTTGTCTTCAATGCAGGCAGTGACACTTGAGGGGCAGTGTCTAAAAAGATTGTTAGGACTGGCTAAGGAGGTACCTGGCTGTATTGTTGAATCTAGGCATGGCATCCTAGGAAATCCATGGGCACAGAGATAGGGCCATTTTGAAAAATGTTTCTCAGACTCAAGCCTACGTTTAATTTTTCTAATTGTGCCTCATTTTCCCACGTGCTTTTGAGCCAAGGTAGTGCTGTGGCTGTCACCTCAGCCCCAGCAGGAAAGCTGACAATGCTGTGCATCCTGTGCTAAACTAACATACAGCTTCTCTGGTCACTTTCAGAGCGCACAGGCTTCACCATTCGCCCTGTGGCTGGATATCTGTCACCCAGAGACTTCTTGGCAGGACTGGCATTCCGAGTTTTCCACTGCACTCAATATGTCAGACACAGCTCGGACCCTCTCTACACACCAGAGCCGTGAGTCATTTAATCTTGGGCTAGAATTTGTGAGAGAGTTTTGAATCTGGCCTGCCCAGAGCCAAGTTACTTAAAAGCTGTTCAAGAACACCAGCATAAAACTTATTTTTAAGGTGCTGAAGACTCAGCCTTCATGCTGAATGTAACGAATTTGCAGCATGCTGAAATGCCACCTTCGTAAGTGCAGGATTTTCAAAAGTGCAGCTTGCTATTGGAGATCTCCTCCTGATATCACTGTGTGCAGTTAATATCCAGTTTCCTTACACATGGGGAGCTCAGACCTGAATTTTAGGCACCTTCATTTGAAAATCTGATTTTATGCACTTGATAGAAGGTTGTTATGATCTGCTAAGTTGATTTCAGAGAAATGGGCAATGCTTTTAGTGTTTAAGTTTAAAGTTTAATGCAAGACATTGTTTCTGTTCAGTGGTGCTGCTTTTTCACTTTGCCACGAAGACAAATCAGGAGATTTCTTGTTTTGTTTCTTTATCCAGTGATACCTGCCATGAGCTCCTTGGCCATGTCCCTCTTTTGGCCGAACCCAGTTTTGCTCAGTTCTCCCAGGAAATTGGTCTTGCATCACTTGGGGCATCAGATGAGGCTGTCCAAAAACTGGCAACAGTGAGTGTTTGAGTGCCTGGGGATTCCATCAAAACCTTTGTGCTTCGCTAAGCTGATCCCATGCCATTGAATAAATTTGGAGCTTCATGTCAACGTTAGCCACACCAGCTGCTAGATCTTTGTGTTTCACTGGTCTCTGGATTTTAAAGCATGAAAAAATTTTCCATGCTAGGAAAAAAACCCACTTTAAAGTTGATATGATTGGTATTTTTCTTCACTCTACTGTCAAGTAATGGTTTAGCTTCTGCAGACTGAAATTTTATGGTCTATTTCTTTCAGACAAAGTCTTCTTTCTTCTGGGAACATGATTCAATGATTTGAAAGTTCTATTTCTTTAATGTGTAGAATGAATTGAAATTATATGGTATTGAATGTGGTGAGTGCTAGCATTAGATACTTTTCAGTCAAGAAATTAAAATAATATAAACTAATTTTCTGGATATCAGTCTCTGGATGTCTTGGCAGGGGTATTTTAAGATTAAAAGTAAATTTTGATGAAAAATAATCTGTGCCAGTTATGCAAGAACTAGCTTGCTGATTTAAAAAATTTCTTTTCCCATGTCATGTGTAAAACTTGTACTACCTTCAGTGGGGGCAGAAATAAGCCATCTATGAAAACAGTGTTCCTTCCTGTATAGCAGCAGAAATCTGAAATTCAGCAAACAGAATGTCTTTAATTTTACAGCACACTAAGCAAATGAGAAACAAACTGCAGTGGGCTGTTCTTACTCACCAGAGATCCGCTCTACCCAGTGATTGTTTTAAGCTAAGGCTGTGATTTCATGTCAGTATTTCTCAAAAGAGATTTACACCTCAATGTTTGCACTGGCATTAGCATCTTCCAGCCCAGCTGGGTGATCTATAACATCCACCTTTCTTAGGAGAAACATGCCATCCCGTGGTTCTTCATCCTTCCATCCTGGCTTTCCTCCTCTTTAAATGTCTCAGGATAACTGAGTGATAACTCTCTGATATTTGCAAATATTTGATGCCACCTACAAATAGAAATGCTTCCATCTCTAGTTCACCACAGCATCTTTGATGAAGGCTGAATTGTTTTACTTCCTTCTGTGTTTCAGTGCTACTTCTTCACGGTAGAGTTTGGCTTGTGCAAGCAAGAGGGGCAGCTACGAGTTTATGGGGCTGGCTTGCTCTCTTCCATTAGTGAGCTCAAGGTAAGAATGGCTACTGCTTGCTTGCCTCTTTTCTTTGTGCCTCATTACCATTGCCACTGTTTCCCCCTGCTTTTTATGAAGTATAATTTCTTGATGTTACAGTCCAGGTAACTACTTTCAGATCAAAGCTTTGTTGGTTTAACCAGATTCTGAAAATATTGCTCATTTATACACACGCCTCGTGTCTGTGGAGTCCCTTTTCTCACCCAAACTGGCAGAATATGACTGTTTAGAATAATTCAGTTTGTTAGGCTTTAATCACTGTTCATCTGCAGATAAAAATTTCAAGATGAGATGCATTAAAATCATCTCACATAATCCTTTTTCTTCACTTCATCACATGTCATCTTCCTCCTGGATTCTTTGGATGGTGATGCTCCTCTGACCCATGGTAACACCTCACCAGCACTCACTCTCTGACAGCGCCAAAGTCAAACCTTTTGATCCCAAGGTCACCTGCAAGCAAGAATGTATCATTACAACTTTCCAGGAGGTTTACTTTGTTTCTGAAAGTTTTGAAGAAGCAAAGGAAAAGATGAGGTACAGATTCTGTCCCCCCTCCCTTCTTTTTATAAAAGCAGATTTGGGTTTATATGTCTTTCTGTTGCAGCACAAAACCCTTTTAGTCTTATCACAGTTTTGTAACCATTTTTCACAGTAAAGGAGTTCTGGTTAGTATTTTCTTGGTCTTTCAGGTACTGGGTGGGAGATACATAACAATTAGGACTATTTTAAAATACTTTAGAAAAGTGGGTATTGATACTGGCTGCATACAGAGAATGCATTTGTGGTTTATGTCTTGTTCATAATGCCCTCTTTTGGATATAACACACTGTTTTTATCTTTTTTCTTTTTTTTTTTTTTTTTTTTTACCTGAACAGAGAGTTTGCAAAAACCATCAAGCGTCCCTTTGGGGTGAAGTACAACCCCTACACTCAGAGCGTGCAGGTCCTGAAGGACACGAAGAGCATCGCCAGCGTGGTGAACGAGCTGCGCCACGAGCTGGACATTGTCAGTGATGCCCTCAGCAAGATGGGCAAGCAGCTGGAAGTTTAACACCCTGCCAGCACTGGGCTGCGAGCCAATCCTCCCCTTTCCCCCACTGATTTCTTTCTAGGCATATAATGTGTTGCATGCAGAACTCACTCCTTTGCACATGGAAGAGTAAACGGCCCTTAAGAATATAACAATTTAATCTTGTTACTCTCTGTAAATTTCCTCAGATAAATGCATTCCTCCAACCCCCTTGGGTAAAAAAGGTCCAGAGTTGCCTTTTAGAAGCTTGTAGGGGAATGGAGAAATTGTTAGATTGGAGAAAAAGTGTAGTCTGTGGATCAGGGCTGAGATCAGATGCTGCAGGAGGTGGCTTATGAGGCAAAAATGGAGTAATTCACCCCAGAGAGAATTCAATTCCTGACTCCAGCAGTCTCTGCTACTGACTGTATGGTGCTGAACACTTGACAATGTAGAAGCTGTGGTAATTCAGTGTTTCAAAGACTGTGCTACTAAGTTTGAGACTTGAATGATTACAATGCAGGCATCAGGACACAAATAGCTGGAGGTTCAACACAATAAAAGGGAGGAGTCAAATCTTGCTTTCAAAGGGATTATTCTAGCCACAAAGAGTTGCAAATGTGATGTTTGGCATGCTTCTAGTATAAGGAGAGATACAGCTATTGCATGAAATCCTAATTATGTTTATTTTAAGTGATTTGATATTGGCTTAGAGTCAGGATTTTTTTTGCTGTCCTTGATATTGCACCTGAGGGAAGACCTTTCCTTACAGAGATACCATTTGCCTTTTTCCTGATTGAATTACTTCAGCAAAAAAATACAGCAAGCCATCAAGCATTGATTTAGCATAAAGCCCAAAACCATTTCCAAACTGCAGCTTCATATTCAAAATAGCTTAATTTGCTCTAAAATAACATCAAAGTTTAAAAAAACACCCAAAGCTCATAGACCAGTGTGCTTTATGTAAAAATAAATATCCTATTGATTGCTCAGTCACTTTTTTGACCTGCACAAGCTACACAAATACACATTTAGTTTCTTCTTTACCTGACTTGAACACCTTCATCCCCTATCTATTAAATTATAACTGAAAGGCCCAAGCATTTCATAGGAATTCTGTGGTTTTTAAGGCAAGAAACTACCTTGTAGTGTAAAGCATACCTGATCCCAAAGAGCACTTTAGAAGTGTAGGGAAGCAGTGTCCTGCTGAATTGTCTGCATTGCACAGTAGTAAATTGCCTGTGTCGAGGGTCCCACAGTTCCAAGCATCTTGCAGAGCTGGGCAAAGCTTCTGCCACCCCTGTTCTGGCATGGACATGTGTGCAGGATGTGAGACATTCAAAGGGGGGGATCTGTGATGTGCAGGGTGTATTTAACAGCATCCTAGGCACTGTTTTGTGTCATACGTAGATCTTATCAGGAAATCCAGAAAGTGTGCTGGAAGAATGATCTGAAATCTTAAATACACTGGAGACGCTAGTCCAGGATTTTGAGAACTTGAAAGGACTTTCATGAAACCTCTGTGCTTGAAAATTAGCTTGAGTTTCATATGCTCTCTAGTTGGACACCTCTGCTCCATAAGCAATTGCCAGACCAACCTTTCCAAGAATACTCACTGTTTAAATCAAGACTAGATAGATTTTTCTGTGGCTATTAACCCACTATAACTTTGTTTTAAAGAGCATTTAAGATGTAGAATTATGGTCTACAACATTTATGGCTTACATTGCACTTAATTTAAAAATAGGCTTAGGAACTTTGTCTTTCTAAAGAAGAAACCTTCCTCTAATTGAGTAGTAAGGGAGGATCTGTTTTGTCTGCTTCTGTGATAACAGTTAATATTCAGCTACAGTTTTAACCACACTGAATTTATGATGTTGTTGAAATATACATAGGTCTGTGTTACTTCCAGCCTTGTCTGAGCTATGTGTACGTTTCAAGTAGGAGTTCTTAAACTTGTTAAAGTAGCACCTACTTTCAAGTACTTTGTAAAAACAGCAGTTGTATATTTATTTGCATTTGTGTAGCAAAAGAAAAAGTAAACTGCTAGACATAATACCGAGACGATGCACTTCCACGGCACTAACAACGTGTATGTTTGGCTTCGCCCCCCCCCCCAAACTTTCGGTGAAACCACGATAATTTAAGTACTTTAAACCATTATGGAGGATTAAATGTCAACGAAATAAAGGAGTTGTGATAATTATCAGAACCACCAAGGCCCTTTACTACGGCTCGGGAGGAAAGCTCATGTCTTTACTAACAATTTGCTGGGTGAAGGTGTGGGTGTTAACGCCAATGAAATGGACACCAATGTTTCTAGCGACTTTGGGCAGCGGGTTTTTTTTGGAGGCCAGGCAGCTCGGCTCCTAACACAGACATGGGTCTGCACAAGCCTCAACTTCTGAATTTTGGGGTAAAACAGGATGTTCAGGATGGGATATGTGGTAGGCAGTTCGGGAAGGCTGTGTCTTCCTAGCGCCGCAGCCAATGGGGCAAGGAACAGGGCAACATGTGGCCGGGAATTGGGATAAAAGAAGGGTGCGTGCTCTGAAACCGAGAGAGGAAAATTCCACAGGTGAATGCCCCAGTGGACTCTCTCCCTCTATTCGCATAAAGTTGCGGGACTCCTCTGTCTCCTGTTTTGGACACAAACCTCTGGCATTTGTGGATTTTCCCGGCAAACACAAAGCGCTCGCTCAGGGCCGGCGTTTCCCGGCGCGGTTCGGGCA